CCTGCTGAAGGAGCAGAACGAAGTACGGCCAAGGCCGCGCGGCGACTCCTGACACAGCAGGGACAGCACTAGTACCCCCAGCGGCAGCACCAGCGCCAGCAACACTTCCAGCTCCAGTACCTCCAGCAGCACCTGTAGCACCCTCAGCAGGACCTCCTCCAGGACTGACAGCAGTAGCCTCAGCGCCAACACTCTCAGCAGATCCAGCTCCAGTCGTAGCCGCAGGCCCAGCAGCTCGAGTACTCCCAGTTTGAGCTCCTCCGGGACCCGTGGCACCTGCACCCTCAATAGCCGAAGAACCTCCAGCTCCAGCAGCACGACTCCACCGCCGGCCAAACCACTCGCGCAGCTCCTGTGGAGAGAGTGGCTCCCGCCGAGACGAAGCACCCGGAGAACCTCCAGGCCCAGCACCGCCAGACGCCACACGAGCAGGCCCAGCTCCCTCTGGCTCCGCACCCCTAGGCTCAGCACCTCCAGGCGTAGCACTCCCAGGCGCAGCACCTCCAGGCGTAGCACCTCCAGGCTCAGCACCCCCAGGCTCAGCACCCAGAGTGGTAGCACCCCCAAGTTCAGCACCCCCAGGCTCAGTACCCCCAGTAGTAGCACCCTCAGGCTCAGCACCCCTCGGCGTAGCACCCACACGCTCAGCTCCCCCAGAGTCAGCACCCCCAGGCTCAGCACCCTCAGCAGCACCAGAGTCACCAGTAACCTTGACAGGCTCGACTGCGTCTACCTGGGACACACCTGAAGGGGCAGGACCCTGAGGGGGGAGGGGGTCTACCGGGGGGGGGGACCTGGCGCAAGGAAGAGCGGTGGCAGGGGGAGGGACGGAATGCAATAGGTGAAGAGGCGGTAGTAGGGGACCGACTCGTTAAACGTGACGTACTGGGAGGAAAGAACACGGCGAGAGGTGGGGTGGTAGAACTGCCACCCTGGCGCGTCAGGGGGGAAACCCAGGAAGACGCAAGGAGCAGCACGAGGGGACAGTTTGTCCGCAGACAAGTCACGGACAAACGCCTGAGATCCCCAGACACGGAACGCAGACGCATCGCCTACCTTCCCCGTCCACAGCAAAGCTAGGGAGATCTCCGGCATGGAGACCTTGGGGTGAAGGTTGATCTGATGCGCCGCGTACTGAACCGCAAACGGCCACAGAAAATGGGGGGCAGCCGCATGCATCATGGACATACGGGTGACGTCCATGACCATGCCAATGCGGTGCTCAGCAATCCCATTTTGCTGTGGAGAGTCCGGAAGCGTGAAGGTCTGGCGGATGCCTCGCGCACGACAGTAGGCTCCCAGAAGACCAGAGGAGAACTCTCCGCCTCTGTCAGAGTGCAGACGCAGAACAAGAAAGTGTCAGAACATATAGCTTACTTGTTTCTGTAGGCTATAGTGGGGTATCCCATAGGGGGTACAACCCAAATTAGGGTTTCCTATTTGTATTCACTTCGTTCATAGTCATTTCATTCTCGTTCATATCTTCTGATGGAATCAGAGCAGGTCCCTTCCTAGGGACTGTTCCTAGGGCCCACCGAAGCGCGCCCCGAGGCGCGCGTTTTTTTTTTTAGCGACCCTCCGTGTCGCCCTTACCGCCGTGCTCCCGCTTAGGCCCCTCGTCGGCCCCGCTTAGGCCCCTCGTCGGCCCCGCTTAGGCCCCTAGTCGGCCCCGCTTAGGCCTCGTCGGCCCCACTTAGGCCCTGTCGGCCCCGCTTAGGCCTCGTCGGCCCCGCTTAGGCCCCGCTACGGCCCCGCGTCGGCCCTGCTTAGGCCCCGTCGGCCCGCCTAGGCCCCGCTACGGCCCCTCGTTGGCCCCGCCTAGACCCCGTCGGCCCGCCGTAGGCCCCGCTCCAGCCCACCGTCGGCCCCGCTATAGCCCGCCGTCGGCCCCTCTACAGCCCGCCGTCGGCCCCCACTACAGCCCGCTGCCGGCCCCGCTACAGCCCGCTGTCGGCCCCGCCCCAGCCCGCCGCCGGTCCCGCTACAGCCCGCCGTCGGCCCCACTACAGCCCGCCGCCGGCCCCGCTACAGCCCGCTGTCGGCCCCGCTACAGCCTCGCTACAGCCCCGCTACAGCCCCGCTACGGCCCACCGTCGGCCCCGCCGCCCGTGCTGCAGCCCGCCGCGCCACCGTGCAGCCGCCCGTGCAGCCGCCCACCGTGCCGCCCGTGAACAGCCCCAGCCGCCCGTGAGCCGCCCGTGCAGCCGCCCGCGCCGCCCGTGAGCCCCTGCGTCACCCGAGCCGCGTGAGCCGCCCGAGCCGCCCGAGCCGCCCGAGCCGCCCGAGCCGCCCGAGCCGCCTGAGCCGCCCGAGCCGCCAGTGGAGCCGCACTCCTGCTCCTGTGGGGCCACTGCTGCTCCTGGGCTGTGTTACAGTGCCGCTGACCTACCCGACTTTTCCTACCCGGTGAGACTGTCAGCTGCTGTCATGGCCACCCCCACTGTCCTAGCTTTTGACGCTGAGGGTAGAGCCATTGACTTTGCAGTCTGGATTGAAGACCTGCAGCCGTACTTACTGTGTGATGCGATAGATGAGGTCTCTCTCTTTGACTTTGTCTCTGGAGCTGTCCCTGCCCCTCCTGCTGATGCTGACCCCGCCGTTCGCTCCAAGTGGGCGACCCGCGATGCTGCTGCACGTCTTGCTGTGCGTCGCCACCTCCCTTCCTCCGAGCCTGCCCACTTTAGTCAGTGCAAGACCGCTCAGGCCTTGTACGACGCTGTAGTTGCACGCTACTCCTCCCCTTCCTCCGCTACGCTTAGCCGCCTCATGCTACCGTTTCTCTTCCCTGACCTCGCTGCCTTTCCCACTGTTGCTGACCTCGTTACCCACCTCCGCGATAGTGACGCTCGCTACCGCGCTGCCCTTCCTGCTGAGTTCCGCGCCGCAAACCCTCCTCCCATGTACATCACTCTCTACTTTCTCGTCACTCGTCTCCCTGAGTCCCTTCGTGTAGTTAGGGACCAGTTTCTCTCTGTCTGTCCCACCACCCTCACTGTCGACCTCCTTGAAGAGTCCCTGCTAGCGGCTGAGAAGAGCATCGTCGCTGTAGGGGCCTCTCGGGGTGACCCTCGCACCCCCATTTTTGAGGGGTGTTCTCCTTCCCCCCTGCTGCCCTCTGTCGCCTCTGCCGCTGCGGCCGACCTCGCTGGTTTTGAGTCGGTCGGTGCGGCGTCTGCCCCCAGCGGTAGACGCCGCAATGGCAAGGGCAAAGGGGGCAAGGGAGCGGGTGGAGCTAGAGGGGGCGGTGGCGGGGGAGGTGGGGGTGGCGGGGGGAGTGGGGGTGGCGGTGGAGGTGGTGGCGGGAGTGGAGGTACTAGTGGAGGCGGTGGAGGCGGAGGTGGCGGCGGAGGAGGTAGCGGAGGAGGCGGGGGTGAGGGTGCCGGTGGGGGCGGTGGCGGTGGAGACGGGGGTGGCGGTGGAGGCGGGGGTGGCGGTGGCGGCGGGGGTCGGGGTGGCTCGTCTCAGCGGAGCAACTCTGGGGGTGGTCAGCGCCAGCAGCAGCAGCAGCAGCAGCAGCCACAGCAGCAGCAGCGCTCTCGCACCGTCCCCGCCCCTCAGCAGCTCCGTGAGTGGTACTTGCAGCGTCAGCGTGGTGGTGCGTTTGGTCCCTGCCCCTACGTTCTTCGCACCGGCGACCGTGCGAGGGAGTGGTGTGGAGGCACCCACACAGCCCGCCGCTGCTTTGGCCGCCTGACCGACGCCTGGCGTCAGCAGTTTCCGGAGGCCGCTGAGATCCCCCGCTGGGGGGAGCTGTCTAGGGCTGGTGTAGCTATTTATGATCTTGACTTTGATGCTATTCTTTCTGCTATGTATGTTGTGACTGGTAGTGATGAGGATGACTGTACCGGTGTTTCCCGCCCGACCCGGGCATTGGTACTGCTGCGTCAGGTACTCGTGAGGCTGCTGCTCTAGGTGCCAGTGCGTCTGTGCTCTCAGGTACTGGTGAGTCTGCCCTCTCAGGTACTGTGTCGGCTTCGGCCTCTCACACCTTCACCCTTGACTCTGGAGCGTCTCGCTCCTTCTTTCGGGACCGCACCACTCTCACGCCGCTGAGTCGGCCGGTTGCGGTGTCCCTGGCTGACCCCTCTAGGGGGCCTGTCCTGTCTCGCTTCTCCACGGTCCTTCCGTGTCCGGCGGCCCCCTCTGGCACCCTGTCTGGTCTCTACCTCCCCTCGTTCTCGACGAACCTAGTGAGTGGTGCTGACCTACAGGATGTGGGTGTCCACCAGTTCACTCCTGCTCGTCAGCGGGTGACACACTGCACGGAGGCTAGCACAGGTCGCCACCTGGCTACGTTTACACGTCGGCCGGGGTCAAGCCTGTACACACTGACCACTGCTTCTCCTCCAGGTCCTGAGTCTGGTAGGGTCCCTTCGTCTGGTCAGGTGTTTGCTGCAGCGTCCAGGTCTGGCCCTGAGTCTGCCCCCTGTGCGTGTCGTCGTCTGTCTCACGAGACCCTCCTCTGGCACCACCGCCTTGACCACCCCTCTCTGCTTCAGCTCAGAGGTATGGCCTCCCGTCTTCTTGTGTCTGGTCTTCCCCGGTCCCTCCCTCCCCTTCCTCAGGGCCCTGGCCCTGCCTGTGTCCCCTGTGTCGAGGGGCGCCAGCGTGCTGCCCCTCACTCCTCCCAGTTTCCTCCGACAGAGGCCCCGTTGCAGACGTTTCACATGGACGTGTGGGGCCCAGCCCGCGTCCTTGGACAGGGTCAGGAGCGCTACTTCCTGCTCGTTGTTGACGACTACTCGCGTTACACCACAGTCTTCCCCTTGCGCAACAAGGGTGAGGTCACTGAGGTGCTGATCGACTTGATCCGCGCAGCTCGTCTTCAGCTCAGGCAGAGCTTTGGCTCCGACTTTCCTGTGTTGCGTCTGCACTCGGACAGAGGCGGAGAGTTCTCCTCTACCCTTCTACGTACCTACTGTCGTGCGCGAGGCATCCGCCAGACCTTCACGCTTCCGGACTCTCCGCAGCAAAATGGGATTGCTGAGCGCCGCATTGGCATGGTCATGGACGTCGCTCGTACGTCCTTGATGCATGCGGCTGCCCCCCATTTTCTGTGGCCGTTTGCGGTCAGGTACGCAGCGCATCAGATCAACCTCCACCCCAGGGTCTCCAGGCCGGAGACCTCCCCAGCCCTGCTGTGGACGGGGAAGGTTGGCGATGCGTCGGCGTTCCGGGTCTGGGGATCTCGGGCGTTTGTCCGCGACCTGTCTGCGGACAAGCTGTCCTCCGCTCTTCTCCCTGCGTCTTCCTGGGGTTCCCCCCCGACGCCCCTGGGTGGCAGTTCTACCACCCCACCTCTCGACGTGTTCTGTCCTCCCAGGACGTCACGTTCGACGAGTCGGTACCCTACTACCGCCTCTTCCCCTACCGCACTCCTTCCCTCCCCCCGCCCCCGCTCTTCTTGGTACCAGGTCCCCCCCCGGTAGACCCCCTCCCCCCTCAGGGTCCTGCCCCTTCAGGTGTGTCCCAGGTAGACGCGGTCGAGCCTGTCGAGGTCACTGGTGACTCTGGTGCTGAGCCTGGGGGTGCGGAGTCTGGGGGTGCTGAGCCTGGGGGTGCTGAGCCTGGGGGTGCTGAGCCTGGGGCGGCGGAATCTGGGGGTGCGGAGTCTGGGGGTGGTGAGCCTGGGGGTGCTGAGTCTGGGGGTGCTGAGCCTTGGGGTGCTGAGCTTGGGGGTGCTGAGCTTGGGGGTGCTGTGCCTGGAGCGGGTACTCCTGCTGGGGGTACTAGTCCTGTCCCTGCTGTTTCTGGCGTCGCCGTGCGGCCCCGACCGTACTTCGTTCCGCTCCTGCAGCAGGTTCTTGGTCTTACACCTTCTCCTGGTCCTCCTCCTCCTCCCTTAGAGAGTCTGCCGCCTGTCCAGTCACAGCCACCGCTACAGCCTGCCTCCCTTTTGCCTGCTCCTTCTCCCTACGCTGGTCCGACTGGAGGTCTTACTGAGCGTCGTGAGCCTGCGTCTCGTCCTGCATCGCCTGTTCGTACTGCGCGCGCTAGTGGTCGCGGGTCGCGTCAGCGTCCTCCTCCTGTCCCTGGCACGCACCGGATGTCACTGCGTCCGTGCACTGCTCCTCTGCGTGCCCCTTTGCCTTCTCCTCCTGCTTCCTCTCTTCCTGCTCTTGCCGACCCGGAGTCGGACTCTCTTCGTGCTGCCAGTCCTACTGTCACGCGTCTCCTTGCTACTGCTGTCACTGACCCTTCCTTTGAGTCGTCTGCTGCGTCTGCCCTTGTCACTGAGCTTGTCGACTTTGCTGCGCGCTGTCGTCTAGACTACGCTGCCAGTCTTGTCGCTGAGTCTGAGTCTACCTGTCCTCCGTCCGTCGGGGGTGAGTGTGCCCTTGGCACGGACGTCCTTGAGGACAGACAGGAGGAGCTCCAGTGTCTGGCCGCCGTTTCACCTCATCTCGCGTCTGTACTGCTAGCCCCTGAGGGAGACCCGGATGCACCAGACATCCCGACTCCGCGCTCTTACGCGGAGGCGATAGAGGGTCCCTACTCCTCTCAGTGGCAGGCAGCTATGGATGCAGAGATGGCTTCCTGGAATTCCACAAGCACTTACGTTGACGCTGTTCCCCCTCCTGGGGCGAACATAGTCAGTGGCATGTGGATTTTCAGGGTGAAGCGGCCGCCGGGTTCTCCGCCTGTCTTCAAGGCGCGTTACGTGGCTCGTGGCTTCAGTCAGCGGCAGGGGGTTGACTACTTTCAAACCTTCTCCCCCACCCCGAAGATGACCACTCTTCGGGTTCTACTGCACGTTGCTGCTCACCGTGACTACGAGCTCCACTCTCTCGACTTCAGCACCGCTTTCTTGCAGAGCAGCCTGCACGAGGAGATCTGGCTGCGTCGCCCACCTGGCTTCACTGGGTCTTTCCCTCCTGGTACCCAGTGGAGTCTCCGGCGTCCAGTTTACGGTCTCCGCCAGGCGCCACGTGAGTGGCACGACACACTGAGGACTACGCTGGCGGCACTTGGGTTTGCTCCTTCTACTGCCGACCCGTCGCTGTTTCTGCGCACCGACACCTCGCTGCCGCCGTTCTACATCCTCGTGTACGTCGACGACTTGGTCTTTGCCACACCTGACACTGCTGGACTCGCCCACGTGAAGTCTGAGCTGCAGAAGAGACACACGTGCACTGACCTGGGTGAACTGCGTAGCTACCTTGGCTTGCAGATCACCCGGGACAGAGCACGCCGCACCATTACCCTGACTCAGTCACACATGGTGCAGCAGGTCCTTCAGCGCTTCGGCTTCACGTACTCCTCGCCTCAGGCCACTCCTCTGCCTACTCGCCACTCGCTCTCAGCTCTGCTTTTGGATGAGTCCGTAGAGTCGAGTGGCCCGTTTGCAGAGCTTGTTGGCTGCCTCATGTACCTGATGACCTGCACACGACCTGACCTTGCATACCCTCTTAGCATTCTCGCACGCTATGTTGCTCCTGGGAGACACCGACCAGAGCACATGGCTGCAGCGAAGAGGGTGTTGCGCTACTTGTGCAGTACGTCTGGCATGGGGCTAGTGCTTGGAGGGCGCAGTCCAGTGGTCCTCACTGGGCACGCAGACGCTTCTTGGGCTGACGACCAGGCTACGCAGCGGTCGTCACAGGGTTACACCTTCAGTCTTGGTTCCGGCTCTGTTTTGTGGCGGGCTACCCGCTCGTCTTCTGTTCTCGGCTCCAGTTGTGAGGCTGAGATCTACGCTGGGGCTATGGCTACACAGGAGTTACGCTGGCTCACCTACCTGCTGACCGACCTTGGAGAGCAGCCTCGTTCTCCTCCAGTCCTGTACGTAGACAACAAGGCCATGCTGGCCTTGTGTCGAGAACAGCGACTGGAGCACAGAACGAAGCACATTGCTCTCCGCTACTTTTTTGCTCGTGAGCTACAGCAGCGTGGACAGTTGCGACTTGCGTACGTGGCCTCTGAGGCCAACACTGCTGATGTCTTCACCAAGGCACTTGCGCCTTGTGATCATCAGCGTTGTTGCACGCAGTTGGGTCTTGTGCCTGTCTTGCCTCACTTGCTCTCCTCTTGACTTTGCTTGTACCTTCGCCTATATATACTCTTGCTCTTGCTTACTTGACTCTTGTATATCTCTATATATGATCTTGCATGTGAACTGGCCTTCTAGCCTTTGAACTTGTGCTCGGAATGCGTGGTGACTTTCTGATCCACCCTGAGCTTTGCTTTGTTTTTGCTTGACTGGTCTTGTGACCCCTTGTTCTCCCCCACTTTGCCTATGGGGGTGTGTCAGAACATATAGCTTACTTGTTTCTGTAGGCTATAGTGGGGTATCCCATAGGGGGTACAACCCAAATTAGGGTTTCCTATTTGTATTCACTTCGTTCATAGTCATTTCATTCTCGTTCATATCTTCTCAGAAAGTCCGAGCCGAAGCTCTGCCTGAGCTGGAGACGAGCTGCGCGGATCCAGTCGATCAACACCGTACTGACATCACCCTTGCTGCGGAAGGGGAAGACTGTGGTGTAACACGAGTAGTCGTCAACCACTAGCAGGAAGTAGCGCTCGTGACCCTGTCCACGGACGCGGACCAGGCCCCACACGTCCATGTGAAGCGTCTGCAGCGGGGCCTCTGTCGGAGGAAACTGGGAGGAGTGAGGGGCAGCCCGCTGGCGCCCCTCGACGCAGGGGACGCAGGTAGGGCCAGGCCCCAGAGGAAGGGGAGGGAAAGACCGGGGAAGACCAGAGACAAGGACACGGGAGGCCATGCTTCGGAGACGAAGCAGGGACGGGTGACCAAGGCAGTGGTGCCAGAGGAGAGTCTCGTGAGATAGGAGGCGACACGAGCAGGGGGCAGACTCAGGACCAGACCTGGACGCTGCAGCAAACACCTTACTTGACGCAGCTACCTGGCCAGACGCAGTGACTTGAGGAGACGCAGTGGTTCGTGTGTACAGGCTCGACCCCGGCCGACGTGTAAACGTGGCTAGGTGTCGGCCTGTTTGAGCGTCCGTGCAGTGGGTCACCCGCTGACTCGCAGGAGTGAACTGGTGAACTCCCGCATCCTGTAGGTCAGCACCACTCACCAAGTTCGTAGAGAACGAGGGGAGGTAAAGACCAGACAAGGTGCCAGAGGAGGCAGCCGGACACGGGAGGACAATGGAGAAGTGAGCAAGGACATGACCCCGAGGCGGGTCTGCCAGAGAGACTGCAACTGGCCGGCCAAGCGGCGTGAGTGTGGTGCGGTCTTGAAAGAAGGAGCGAGAAGCCCCCGAGTCAAGTGTGAAGGTGTGGGACGCAGTACCTGAGAGAGCAGACTCACCAGCACCTGAGGGAGCAGACGCACAAGCACCTAAAACAGCAGCCTCGCTAGCACTTAGAGCAGCAGCCTCACCAGTACCTAGAGCAGCAGTCTCAATGCCCGGGCCGGGCGGAAAATACCGGTAACAGTCACCCTCATCACTAATAGTCACAACATACATGGCAGCAAGAATAGCATCAAAGTCAAGGTCAAAGACAGCTACTCCCGCCCTAGACAGCTCACCCCAGCGGGGGATCTCAGTGGTCTCAGGGAACTGGTGACGTCAAGCGTCTGTCAGGCGGCCAAAGCAGCGCTGGGTGGAGTGCGCACCCCCACACTGCTCACCCGCGCGGTCGCCGGTGCGTAGGACGTAGGTGCACGGACCAGTACCCCAGCCCCTCTGGCGTGCAGCGTACCACTCACGGAGCTGCTGAGGGGGGGGGGTGTCACGAGTGCGCTGCTGCTGCTGCTGCTGCTGCTGCTGGCGCTGACCACCACCGGAGCCGACCCTCTACGCAGCGCCACCCCGACCAGCTCCACCTCCTCCGCCGCCGCCTCCTCCATCGCCGCCACCTCCGCCACCTCCGCTCCCACCGCCACCGCCGCCGCCGCCTCCGCCTCCACCGCCGCCACCGACACCTCCACCCCCGCCACCACTCCCACCACCACCCCCACCCCCTCCACTGCCTCCACCGCCACCTCCGCCACCCCCGCCAGCCCCTCCAGCACCCTTGCCCTCCTTGCCCTTGCCGATGCAGCGTCTCCCGCTCGGGGCAGACGCAGCGCCGACCGACTCGAAACCAACGAGGTCGGCCGCAGCAGTAGAGGCAACAGAGGGCAAAAGAGGGGAGGGGGAACACCCCTTAAACACGGGGGTGCGAGGGTCACCGCGAGAGGTTCCTACAGCGACTATGCTCTTCTCTGCTGTTAAGAGGGCTTTCTCGAGGAGGTCAACGGTGAGAGTGGTGGGGCAAACTGAGAGGAAGTGGTCCCTGACTACGCGAAGAGAGTCAGGAAGCCGGGTGACTATGTAGTAGAGGGTGATGTACATGGGGGGGGGGTTCTTGGCGCAGAACTCAGCAGGAAGCGCAGCGCGGTAGCGAGTGTCACTAGTGCGGAAGTGCGTAATGAGGTCAGTGACTGTGGGAAAGACAGCAAGGTCAGGGAAGAGGTACGGTAGCATGAGGCGGCTACAGTAGCAAAGGCAGGGGAAGAGTAGCGCGCAACTACAGCGTCGTACAAGGTTTGAGCACTCTTGTACTGGCTAAAGTGCGCACGCTCAGAGGTAGGCAGGTGGCGACGCACAGCAAGACGTGCAGCAGCATCGCGTGTGGCCCACTATGAGCGAACAGTGGCGTCGGCATCAGCAGCAGGGGCAGGAGAGGCACCATGGGTGAGGTCAAAGAGGGAGAGACCGTCGGCTCTATCGCACTGTAGGAAAAGCTGCAGGTCATCTACCCAGACGTCAAAATCAATGGCCTGACCCTCTGCGTAAAAAACGAGGACATTAGGGGTAGCCATGACAGCAGTAGACTAGCAACGCGAACAGTAGGGTAAGGGCAGTGCAGTGACAGAGGCGTTGCTCTTAACGGACAGGGCGGCCCGGGTGGCTCGGCGGCTCGGCGGCTCGGCAACTCGGCTGCTCGGGCGGCGCGGGCGGCTCGGCGGCTCGGGCGTCTCGGCAACTCGGCAACTCGGCGGTTCGGGCGGCTCGGGCGGCTCGGCGGTACGGCGGCTCGGCAGCAACTGCGGCTCGGCGACTCGGCGGCTCGGGCGGCTCGGGCGGCTCGGGTGGATCGGGCGGCTCGGCAGCAGCTCGGCGGCGCTGGCGGCTCGGTGGTGACGGCGGGGCCGCGTGGGGACGGCGGCGGGGCGGGTGGAGCGGGGGCGGGGCCGGGTGGAGCGACGTTGGGGCCGGGTGGAGCGGCGGCGGAGCCGGGTGGAGCGGCGTCGGGGCCGGGTGGAGCAGCGACGGGGCCGGGTGAAGCGGCGGCGGGGCCGGGTGGACCGGCGTCGGGGCTGGGTGGAGGCGGCGCCGGGGCCGGGAAGGGCAGCTCCGGGGCCGCAGGGGTAGGCGATGGGGCCAGCAGAGGCGGCGCCGAGGCAGGGAAGGGCGGCGCCGGGGCCGCAGGGGTAGGCGATGGGGCCGTTGGGGCGGCTAGGAGGGGGGGGGGTCGCGAAGGCTGCTTGAAGAGGCCGCAAGGGCGGCTAGAAAGGGCCGCGAGGGCGGCGCGACGCGACGGAGCTGCGAGGGCGGCGGATCGGGGCCGCGAGGGCGGCGCGACGCGGCCGCTAGGGTGGCGCGACGTGAAGGGGCTGCGAGGGCGACGCGACGGGGCCGCAAGCGCGACGCGACAGGGTCGAAAGGGCGGCTCAACGGGGCCGTGAGAGGGGAGCGCGACTCGGGCAGTGTAGAGCGCGCTCCGGGCAGGAAAAAAAAGGTGGTGGGCCCTAAGAACAGTTCCCACAGGGGAACCTGCTCGATACCATGAAAAACTGAACGAGAATGAAAATGACTAAGTGAAAGTTGGGTACAAGTACAAACTCTAGAAAGCTGTATCCCATATGTGCTACCCCACTATAGCCTACAGTAACTATGTCATATAAATCTGACAATCGGCTGTGTCGTCAATGGGTGCATCCCCTTGGTTTACGTCAGCTTCTTGTGCTTGTGTGGCGGAGGTGTCCGTGGGCGATGTAGGAGATAGTGGGGATGCGGGAAATGAGTCAAACTTGGACCCTAAGCTTCCTTCCCAAGAAGTTCAGTCGCCAATGTGTGGTGAGACCTCTTCCATGTAGCGATGTCGTTCGAGTGCCGATTCAGCATCCCGAATCATGAGGTCATCAAAGAATCGAGCTGAGCGTGTGTCCGTGTCAACATCGCTTGCCAAGTCATGCACGATCCATGTCTTCCGAGCGTTGGAGAGTCCAAGGAACATGCCAACTTATCCTCTTTGCTCGAACTTTCCAAAGCTGCCTTGGGGAAGGAGATACTAGCAGAGGCATCCAAAAGTTCTTGCCATTGAAACATCCGCTGCCCTTCCCGTCATCATGAAGTACGGTGAGTGTGTTGACGAGTTGCTGCTGCAGCTGATGCGGTTGTGTAACCATGCTGCGCACTCCAGTGCGTAAGGCCAGAACTTAGAGGAAAGGCTGGCTCTAGTGGTCATTGCACGCTTTCGGTCCATGAGCGTGCGGTTGACCCGTTCGACGACTCCATTCTGCTGCGGTGTGTGTGGTAGGGACGTTTGGTGACTGATGCCATGAGAGCTCAGGTAATCCGTGAAAGCATTTGTGGTATACTCCCCCCGTTGTCCGTGCACAAAGCAGCCAGCGGCTTCGTTGGCAATTTTGTCTTCATCTCGCGATGCCATGCTCAGAAAACAGTTGCCATGTCGGACCGGCGAGCCAACGGCGCCACCCAGAGGTAGTTGGTGCAGTAATCTTTGAGCGACATCACGTAGCGAAGTGAAGGGTGAGTGTCACCCAAGTCCATGATATCGCTATGCACGAGCTCCAAAGGTCGACTTGTGCGCTTGTCACCACCTGTGGGAAATGGGGCTTTGCTCATCTTCCCTCAAAGACATGAGTCACACGGGGGTTTGAGGGGGTTTGTCTTGTCAGATATGGAGAGTCCTTCAACATCTCTATTGCAAAATGTTGCGTCCATTGATGTGTATGATGGGTGACCCAAGAGCTTGTGGGCCATGCAGTATGTGATGGATGCACGAGTAGACTGCACATTCAGCCCTCCAAGACCAGGTTCATTCGAT